AGAGGATGATGATGAGGCTGGTTCACTGAATATAGATGGAGAGCGCGCATGCGAGCTGATGTCAGTTGTCCTGTGCTGGTGACTGCGTTGTTGTGTCTGCGCTTCGTGCTCAAGTCTTTTTTTTTTTATTTAATGCTTGAAAAGTACGTCGCAAAACATAAATGATCAGCTTCTACTTATACTGAGGAAATTTTAAAGATTCTGATCGCAGAAGTCGTTTTTGTATGTAGCGCAATTTGAAATTATAAACTTGATGACTTGACGTGTTTCTGTCGCATCGAAAGAGCTTTCGATCCATTTTATATTACAAGGGACTGTCGAAAAAAAAAAAACGTGCGACATGAGCAGAATTTTTTTGAAAGTTTGTTTCAATAAGTTTCATTTTAACAAAAATTCACTTCTGAAATCAGCGCAGTTTTAGAAAACATTTTTTGGGGACTGCGTGGAATCGAATTCAATCGATTCAATCGTGAAAATTGCAATGAAATTAATCCTCATTTGTATTTTTCACATTCATCCCCGAAAAAATATTTCCATTTGGCGAAGACTAATCCCTGGAAACATTTTAGGCTGGATAAACATAATTTTCATATGTTCGGATCGTTTTAATTTGTTAAAAAATCTCCTTAGATTAAATATTCTCAAGCATCTACACAGAGCGCGAAGTTTGTTTGAAATTATATATCGATCTCGAATATGAATTTACGTTCGAATCTTAATGCAGCATACTGTATGTATTTGTCTGAGGCATTTGAATTCTAAATAATTTACTTTATCCCTTTTTGTCAAATTTAGTTCACCCTCCACAAACGTATGATCAACTCGTATTTCAAGTAACCATATTAGTAATTTTCTACTGACCTTATTGAGATGAATAGAAAAAACACGCCTTTGGATCAGCGGAAATCTCACAAAAAAATGATTGTTCTGGTTTGACGGGCTTTAAAAACTTTAAAACAAGAGCAAACGGTAGACATTTTCGTAATCTTGCGCACAGGCTGAAAAGGTGCCCGAAATTAGCTTTTTTTTAATGTAAAAAGCCACCTTTTGAAAAAATAAAAAAGACCAAAAAGAATTCATGACACGTTTTCTCCGAAAAATAGAGATACATTTTGGCGAAGAACGGCGAGTGCAAAATAATCGATACAGCAGTTTTACGGCAGAGTCGCGCCATCACACCGCGAATTCCGGAAGGAAAGTTCGTTGTAACAGTTACCAATTCAGCAAATACAAATAAATAACGTAGTTATGAGTTTTTGACTCAATTTAAAAGCCTGCAATTGAAAGGAAAATTCAATTTGAAAATTTCCACAGGTACCAACTATTTATATAAATAACCTGAACCATGCAGGGTTCAGGATAAGAGTCACAGACGGAGGACCGCTCAAAGAAGCGGTCGAGCGTAACAGTCTAGTTCAAGCCCCCGCCGGTTTTTGGGCGGCGTCGCCGCGGACGTCGGCCTCCACGACTGGGGTTGTATCTAGGGTAATTGGGCCTCGCCAACCAAGGCCAACACCCGGTAACTGGCGAACAACTGGGCGCCTTTGAGCAGCAAATCGCCGGCGGATTCGGCGGTGGTGGTGGCGGTTTCGGCGGCGGCGGCGGTGGAGGCAGTGGAGGTTTCGGCGGCGGTGGTGGACCCGGGTTCGGCAAGAGGCCAAACCAGCCTGGGTTCGGTGGTGCTGGCGGTAACTTCGGAGGCGCTGGTGGCAACTTCGGAGGCGCCGGTGGCAATTTCCAAGGCGGTCCTGGCGGCAATTTCCAAGGCGGTCCTGGCGGTAATTTCCAAGGCGGTCCTGGAGGTAATTTCGGAGGGCACGGCGGCGGTCACCTGCCGCCGCCTCCACCACCACCAGTGGTACCTCCACCGTTGCCTAAGCCCCCAAGACCCCCTAGGTTACCTAAACCACCGTTGGGGCCTTTATAGCCTTCACCTAAGCCGCCTTCGCCTCCATTGAACTCGAGAATAATTGATTTGTCATTGAAATACATTTTTTTAAACCTCAAATGAGCAATGCTTGAAACCTTATTTGACAAGGGAGACTGAGTTTCCAATATTTTCCAATCAGCTTAGCCTCTCAGCACAGATTAAATTTAACCTAGTCAAATAAATTATCTATATTCCCTTTCATGACAACCATAGTTGGTACAGTGAAACCTCGTCACAACGAAGCCCTGCTGGGGACCAGTGATTCAGCTTCTTTGCACTGAAAAATTCATTTTAAAGTAACTCACTCAAAATTGTGGCTATTGAGCAGGACTCTAAGAAACGACTTCGTTCTAAGCGATTATTCGTTATATAGCAAGATTCGTTGTTGAAGGCTTCTACTGTATATTGTAACTGAGGATTACTGTTTGTCTGCGTATTCAAGCGAGCATTTTTTATACTCCAGGAAGCTTAAAAATATTAAATTCGGCACTGAAGTTGATGCCCACGTCAATTAGAAAACAAATACATAAAAGCCTTTTAAATCTCCAAAATTGCTGGAAAACTCTGCGAGCTAAACACAAATCCATTTTCTTTATTATCTGACGGAAGATAGTTATCAAATTGGGGCAGATATTTTCAGGAAGCTGGATATAATCGAGGAAATATTTCCATTTTTTAAATGTCAATATGCTTGATAATGTATGACTGCCCTTGTTTTATTTTTCTATGGCATAGACATGAATCTTTGACGTCTACTTGTGTACGTCGCGTCTCATTTATCGAAAAGAAAAGGTAAACCAAAGGGATGCGAAGGGTACTAACGAAAACGACGTAAAGGTAGTTCGTGACTACCTGAATGTACAGTACTTGTGAATTGCGGGGGAACAAAGGCATGTCCTGATTTATATGATGGAATGAGTTTAATAATTAGGTTCATTTCGAGCAAATTTATTTTCTCAGGAGGATCATATTCGCACTGTGGTCATGGTGCAAGAACGACAACGAACGGAGTTTAGTTTACGCCTCGGCCTCCTGGCTTACTGCCGTCGCCAAACTAACTGGAGGCATAACAGTTGTTTGGCCAACCACTTTGATTTAAAGAATGTCAACAATTTATAAAAAGGGAATCTGAATTCTTCGAATACACAGTACCTGTCAAACAGTTGATTGCTTCGTTCAAATATTTCGCTTTTTTCACTCTAATAAAATATAAGGACCACAAGAAGCGTATAAGTTAATTGTTTCGATTGGACCGGCATCAAAAATGAGGAATGCTTTGCAAATGAGCATTATCTTCTCATACAGTCTTGGATTATTTAATGTTCAATTATTCATCGATTTGCTGTGAAGTCAATTAAACATTCGAACGACTGCATTTTATGACGATCAATCGTGAGTTTAGGAAATAAGCCCAAACTAGGTACTCTACAGCAAATTAATATAAATTCAAAGAGCGAAATAAAGAAAAACCACGTGGCAAATTATATCTTAAAGCCTGATTTGAAAAGGGATTTGGTATAATTTATAAATTTATGGAAGGGAATAATTCCTTTCATGTGGCGGAAGTGAAGAAGTGGAGTTTAATTTGCTGTCCGTTATTTCAATGCGTTGTGTTCAAGAATATTGTGGATTTAAAGAAAAAAGTGCATAAACTTGATTGTTTTTTTTTTGTCTGAGGAAATCAAAATTGCGGATTTCTTTCTTGAAATCGAGTGTATTAAATTGTATTGTATTTTTTTCCTTCGTATTGCAAATACCATTTCATATTGAATTTTTTTCCAGCCACAAGGAATCACTTGCCAATTGGGCGAAGTTTATTGTTGCGGTGGCGGCGAAGGTGGCGGTGGCGGAATCGACCCGTACCCACCAGGTACTTGTGGCGTCCAGAGAAACTTCTACTATCGATCTCCTTACGGCCAGGTGAACTGTTTTCAAGTAATTTAAGCTGGAAATTCAGAACCATAACTGATATAATTCTTTTCAGGCTGATTACGGAGAATATCCGTGGCAAGCACTCATCTTAGATTCTCAAGACGGATTCGTCGGAGGTGGTGTGCTCATCAACAACGGTCATGTTTTGACTGCGACACACAAAATTTATGATTATTACATCAACAACAGGCTTGGAGAGTAAGTACGCGATGGTTCTGAAAAAAAAAGGCTTCGGATTATGTATCTAGAGCTTGTCATGACTATAAAACTCACCGGAATGCATTTTAATCTCGAATCTCCTGGCCGGAAACGTTTCGTTCAGGAATTTATATTATACTAGAATTCTTCAAGCATTTTATGAGAAAAACCACCTAATACGAAGCGAAATTTAGAATCAATTAGGCCTGTAGAGTAAGTTCGTAAAGTCTCTCAAAATAAAATTCTTCTTGGTTTATTTAGAAAGATTTTAACCTCAACTTGAACTCTGGAATCATCTCTCCGGACCAGAGACTGTTAGTTTAGAATCACTAACTTTTATTGAAGCCCTGTAAGAATTGGAAGAAGGCAACCTGATACAGAAAGGGCAGATGTAATCAATAAACATGATTTGATGAGATATAATGAATGGAATCAATCAAAACCTGGGGGATTTTTTTTTTTACTGAGAAACCTTGAATGAGCAGCATATTACAGTATCGTAAAAAGTCGAAAAGGATGTTACCTAGATAACGGCGGCGGAGGTGGTGGTGGTCACCATGGAGGTGGCAACGGATTCGGGGGTTCTGGGGGATCCAATGGATTTGGTGGCAACCCCGGAAATATCGGAAGTGGATTCGGCGGAAGCGGAGGTAACTTTTCGAGAATAATTTATTTGTCATTGAAATACATTTGTTTTACCTCAAATGTTCAATGCTTGAAACCTTGTTTGACAAGGGAGACTGAGTTTCCAATATCTTTCAATCAGCTTAGCCTCTCAGCAAAAATTAAATTTAACCTAGTCAAATACATTTTCTATATTCCCTTTCATGACAACCATAGTTGTTACAGTGAAATCTCGTCACAACGAAGCCCTGAGTGATTTAGCTTCGTTGTACTGAAAAATTCATTTTAAAGTAACTCATTCAAAATTTCGGCTATTTTTGGCAGGACTCTAAGAAACCTGAGCGATTATTCGTTATATAGCAAGATTCGTTGTTGAAGGCTTCTACTGTATATTGTAACTGAGAATTACTGTTCGTCTGCGTATTCAAGCGAGCATTTTTTATGCACCAGGAAGCTTAAAAACATTAAATTTGGCACTGAACTTGATGCCCACGTCAATTAGAAAACAAATACATAAAAGCCTTTTAAATCTCCAAAATTGCTGGAAAACTCTGCGAGCTGAACACAAATCCTTTTTCTTTATTATCTGACGGAAGATAGTTATCAAATTGGGGCAGATATTTTCAGGAAGCTGGATATAATCGAGGAAATATTTCCATTTTTTAAATGTCAACATGCTTAATAATGTATGACTGCCCTTGTTTTATTTTTTATACCGTATCTGTACTTAGAAACTGCAGATGAACACATGCAGCGCAGAGTAAATAGCTTTTCTTTTCCATTTGGTTTCCCTACGCTTCCCATGATTGCTTTTGCTGCATTTCCATCAAGCACTGATGCTGAATGTACAGTACTTGTGAATTGCGGGGGAACAAAGGCATGTCCTGATTTATATGATGGAATGAGTTTAATAATTAGGTTCATTTCGAGCAAATTTATTTTCTCAGGAGGATCATATTCGCACTGTGGTCATGGTGCAAGATGCTGTTGCTTGCCTCAAATCAAATGCGGAGCCGGAGGACCGAATGACGGCAGCGGTTTGATTGACCTCCGTATTGTCAACAAACCGGTTGGTGAAACTAAATTTCTTACAGTTGTTAAATATTTTTTTTGGGAATCTGATTTCTTCGAATACACTGTACCTGTCAAACAGTTGATTGCTTCGTTCAAATATTTCGCTTTTTAACTCTAATAATATATAAGGACTACAAGAAGCGTAAGTTAATTGTTTCGATTGGACCGGCATCCAAAATGAGGAATGCTTTGCAAATTAGCATTACCTTTTCATACAGTCTAGGATTATTTAATGTTCAATTATTCATCGATTTATTGCTGTGAAGTCAATTAAACATTCGAACGACTGCATTTTATGACGATCAATCGTGAGTTTAGGAAATAAGCCCAAACTAGGTACTCTACAGAAAATTAATATAAATTCAAAGAGCGAAATAAAGAAAAACCACGTGGCAAATTATATCTTAAAGCATGATTTGAAAAGGGATTTGGTATAATTTATAAATTTATGGAAGGGAATAATTCCTTTCATGTGGCGGAATTGAGGAAGTGGAGTTTAATTTGCTGTCCGTCATTTCAATGCGTTGTGTTCAAGAATATTGTGGATTTAAAGAAAAAAGTGCATAAACTTGATTGTTTTTTTTGTCTGAGGAAATCAAAATAGCGGATTTCTTCCTTACAATCGAGGGTATTAAATTGTATTGTATTTTTTCCTTCGTATTGCAAATACCATTTCATATTGAATTTTTTTTCCAGCCACAAGGAATCACTTGCCAATTGGGCGAAGTTTATTGTTGCGGTGGCGGCGAAGGTGGCGGAGGCGGAATCGACCCGTACCCACCAGGTACTTGTGGCGTCCAGAGAAACTTCTACTATCGATCTCCTTACGGCCAGGTGAACTGTTTTCAAGTAATTTAAGCAGGAAAATCAGAACCATAACGGATATAATTATTTTCAGGCTGATTACGGAGAATATCCGTGGCAAGCACTCATCTTAGATTCTCAAGACGGATTCGTCGGAGGTGGTGTGCTCATCAACAACGGTCATGTTTTGACTGCGACACACAAAATTTATGATTATTACATCAACAACAGGCTTGGAGAGTAAGTACGCGATGGTTCTGAAAAAAAGGCTTCGGATTATGTATCTAGAGCTTGTCATGACTATAAAACTCACCGGAATACATTTTAATCTCGAATCTCCTGGCCGGAAACGTTTCGTTCAGGAATTTATATTATACTAGAATTCTTCAAGCAATTTATGAGAAAAACCACCTAATACGAAGCGAAATTTAGAATCAATTAGGCCTGGAGAGTAAGTTCGTAAAGTCTCTCAAAATAAAATTCTTCTCGTTTTATTTAGAAAGATTTTAACCTCAACTTGAACTCTGGAATCATCTCTCCGGACCAGAGACTGTTAGTTTAGATTTTAGAATCACTAACTTGTATTGAAGCCCTGTAAGAATTGGAAGAAGGCAACCTGATACAGAAAGGGCAGATGTAATCAATAGTGTACTAAACTACTCTATATTACTTACCTTAGTTAGTTTTGGACCCCCTAAAAAAAAAAATGACTCTTTGGAACTTACTCGTCGTATAATGTCATAGCATTTTTCAGCTTTTCCTACAATGGATCTAATAACCGGATGAAGCACGTGGTGCAATACTTGAGTGGATTGGCTTGCTTGTTATTCTGCTGTAAATGGACAACAGGCTGAAGGTGAGATTGGGCGATTGGGACGTCGGCGGCAACAACCCGGAAGAGAAGTTCCCATTCCAAGAACGCCGGGTTGCTCGGATCTTGATCCAAGATGGGTTCAATATCAACAACGTGTACAACAACCTTGCCATCTTGTACCTGGCCCGGCCTGTTGAATACACCCCTGTCATCGGCCCTGTTTGTCTCCCACCGTTTGAAGCCCGCAACTTTGACGGACAGCTGTGAGTCTCTATATACTCAGTTTTTTTTTATATATATTTTTTTAAATTTGAAGTGACATTTTCTGTCACTTCAAATAATGATGGAAATCAGCTATTTCAACCAGTAATGCCTTGGTGGCCTTCCAAGCTATACCTTTGAAATACTTCCACACGATTCAGAAACTGCTCACGACTTCTCTAATTTCGTTCATGAACAATGGAAAGATTCGCTTGCGTATTCCGCAAACGATCTTTGTGGCTCCGGAACAGTAACCAAGTCCAAAAGCTCTTGTGTTTGAATTGTTCACATTGCTTTTTCTAAGAAAACGGAGTTTAGCGGAGTTCATGTTTTTTTTGAATTCCATGAAACGTGGCTCGAATATTTTGTGGAGCTGACCTTCAATGATTGAAAAGCGGCGCCTGATGCGCTACTACTATCAATGTTGTCATAATGGCCAATTGTATAAGAGAGAAAAAGATGGAAGAAATATACGTCCACCAACTTTCATTAGAATTTAAATAAACTAAGCTTCCATACACAGTAATATCAGCAGCATTTCATTTCTGTCGGATCAGGAACGCAAACGAATTTACGAGTTCACCGAAACGTTTCAAAATCTGCGAAACGATCTGAAAGTTTTGAGCAATTTTGGCAAAACAATCTCGGTTTTAGCCCTCGTGCCAATAAGGACATTTCCCAAGAAGGACTTGCATCACGAAGACTAGTGCACTGCAGATAATAAAAGCATGACTAGCACATGAGCATCGAAATAAAATAAAATTTTCGAACTTCATGAAAGGTATTGTGACTCTTGTGAGACGAATTTTCGTTCTTGTTACATTTTCGTCGCACTCTGGGTCTCTCCCACGCATGAAAAAACTAAAAAAAATCATTGAAAAGACAAATTCAAATCTAAACAATTTTTCATATGATTCCAACTATCCTAATGTACCTCTCAGCTTTTTTGAATCTCGTAATATTTTGTTTTCACAGTTGCTGGACGGCAGGCTGGGGCAAAGATGCCTTCGGTCACAAAGGAGAATTCCAAGCAATTCTCAAGGAAGTTGATGTGCCAGTTCAAAATCCTCAAACTTGCCAGAATCTCTTGGGACACGTTTTGTCGACTCCAGGTCGTCCATACAAATTCAACGCCAGGCAGCACATTTGTGCTGGTGGAATCGCAGGAAAAGATGCGTGCGACGTGAGTTCATTTTAAAAAATTGTCAAAAAAAATCAATGGTATCCAGTATTCTCTTCTCTGGTGCATCAATGAATGAGATTTCATGTATTAAACAGGGTGACGGAGGAAGTGCATTGGTGTGCCAGAACCAGTTCGACAAGAAATTTTACCTCGCTGGCATCGTCGCATTCGGTGTCGGTTGTGCTCAGCCTGACGTTCCCGGAGGATATGTCAACGTCGTCACATTCAACGAGTGGATCAGGCACAACACTGGCTATCACTGAAATCAAATTTAAAATCAATTCGAATAAGCGATTTGAATGTTCGATCCTTGGAGATTCAGCGCAAAGCCCCGTGTATTGTTTCGAGACTGATGCTCGCTCAGTCACGCGGAATAAATTAATGATCATCCGAAAATAAATCAATTTTCTTGCCTTCAAAACGCAGTTTGAAAATTATTGAGGACTATGGGATTTTTTTTTGCTAGTACTACAGTAAATATACCACTAAGACTTCGCTGTTGACTCGCATATAATCTCAACACTTATAGTTGCTTGAAGTTTACTACAACTTTTTGGACTCAAATCCAGAAAACACATTTATATACATGCCTCATGACATATAAAGGGGATAAATGAATTCAGAATTTCAGATTTAAATTTCTTTTATTTTTCTAGAGTACTTCACCAATAAAATGGCGTCATACATTCGCTGGATGGAGATTATCATATTTTAAAGATTAACATATTATTCATTCATGACCGTTTCAATGAATGCGCTAATGTTGAAATGGGGAAAAACAGGGAGTTGAAAACAATCTCATTTATAGTATGACGTTTTTACAGCATAATTTCCAAAGCTAAATATTCAGTACCATGTTTTATTCAAAGGCTGCCAAAGTACTATGAATTGCTTCAAATAAATTTAATTTATTAATAGTTTTGAAGTCACGCCGGCACTAAAAAAATTAAAATTAAAAAACAACTAGGCTTCTCTTTTCAGTTTTTGCGCTATTAGTCATGCTGAAAATAAAGATCGCCACAGAAGATTTCGAAGTCAGGGCTGCTATTGAAAAAAGTCTGAAGAGAATTTAAAGTGTTGGCTTCTTTGAGCTTTTTCAGTGAAGTGGCTCCTTTTCGCTTTGAAGTGCAGTCGTATTTTCATTCTAAAACTGGTCATTTACAAGTATGACGATACTTTAGAACCATTTCGTGTAATGCTGACAAATTCATGAACTTTACTGCTTGATGTCGATCAGAGTTCGTTTCATCGGCCGTGGTACACGTATTGCAGTTGGGAATTGAATCTGCTGTAGAAGTCAAAGTCGTCTTCATCATCATTGATTCGAGAAGGTCTTTTATTTGTTTTTTGAAAATGACTTTATTACACCATCACTCATTCGAACGAAAAGAAAAACCAAAACGTAAACTCCATCTAAGGAACCGCAATTTGCGAATGGAACTCATGACACACGAGTGTGAATGACTTAATTGTGGATGTCCAATCGAACGCACAAAATGCCTTTTCCCTTTTNACCTCGCTGGCATCGTCGCATTCGGTGTCGGTTGTGCTCAGCCTGACGTTCCCGGAGGATATGTCAACGTCGTCACATTCAACGAGTGGATCAGGCACAACACTGGCTATCACTGAAATCAAATTTATAATCAATTCGAATAAGCGATTTGAATGTTCGATCCTTGAAGATTCAGCGCAAAGCCCCGTGTATTGTTTCGAGATTGATGCTCGCTCAGTCACGCGGAATAAATTAATGATCATCCGAAAATAAATCAATTTTCTTGCCTTCAAAACGCAGTTTGAAAATTATTGAGGACTATGGGATTTTTTTTGCTAGTACTACAGTAAATATACCACTAAGACTTCGCTGTTGACTCGCATATAATCTCAACACTTATAGTTGCTTGAAGTTTACTACAACTTTTTGGACTCGAATCCAGAAAACACATTTATATACATGCCTCATGACATATAAAGGGGATAAATGAATTCAGAATTTCAGATTTAAATTTTTTTTCATTTTTCTAGATTTCTTCACCAATAAAATGGCGTTATACACTCGCTGGATGGAGATCATCATATTTTACAGATTAACATATTATTTATTCATGACCGTTCCGATGTATGCGCTAAGGTTGAAATGGGGAGAAACAGGGAGTTGAAAACAATCTCAATTATAGTATGGAGTTATTACAGCATAATTTCCAAAGCCAAATATACCATGTTTTATTCAAAAGCTGCCGAAGTAATATGAATTTCTTCAAATACATTTAATTTATTAATAGTTTTGAGGTTACGCCGGCACTAAACAAATTAAATTTAAAAAGCAACTAGACTTCTCTTTACAATTTTTGCGATGAAAATAAAGATCGTCACACAAGATTTCGAAGTCAGGGCTGCTATTGAAAAAAGTCTGAAGAGAATTTAAAGTGTTGGCTTCTTTGAGCTTTTTCAGTGAGTGGCTCCTTTTCGCTTTGAAGTGCATTCGTATTTTCATTCTAAAACTGGTCATTTACAAGTATGACGATACTTTAGAACCATTTCGTGTAATGCTGACAAATTCATGAACTTTACTGCTTGATGTCGATCAGAGTTCGTTTCATCGGCCGTGGTACACGTATTGCAGTTGGGAATTGAATCTGCTGTAGAAGTCAAAGTCGTCTTCATCATCATTGATTCGAGAAGGTCTTTTATTTGTTTTTTGAAAATGACTTTATTACACCATCACTCATTCGAACGAAAAGAAAAACCAAAACGTAAACTCCATCTAAGGAACCGCAATTTGCGAATGGAACTCATGACACACGAGTGTGAATGACTTAATTGTGGATGTCCAATCGAACGCACAAAATGCCTTTTCCCTTTTTTTGTTTTGTTTTTCTCAGTACTGAAGATCACTGGCCTTCATCTCCTGTATGCTTTCAAATCATTCGACAATAAGAAAAAAAAGAAAACCCAAGCGAAAGACGACGCGGATTTTTGTGCGTGTTTCAAATAAAGTCAGTAAATATGCGCACTGATGCTCGGCTTGATGTCGATCCCAGCGTAAGACATCCCAGGGTTTCCGTTGTTGCTGGTCCCAGTCTGGCCCAGGATGTTGGAATATGGTCCCGAAAGAACCAGAGATGGCTGGGGGCTCAACGACGGGATTGATGGGCTGGAAGAGTGACCAGAGTCTGCTGCAGCCCCGCTGGTCGTCGGGATTTTGCAAGACAGCATTGATGATCCCGGAGGAGACGGGTTGCCTGGCAACTGATGCTGCTGCAGGTGCTGTTGATGCTGCTGCTGAAGCTGCTGGAGTTGTTGCTGGTGGTGCTGCTGGTGTAATCCGGATGACGCCAAACTGGACCACTTTGCTTGGTTGCTGAGTAGATTCTGGGCACTGTTCTCGATTTTGGTCAAACCTGCGAATAAAGAAGGAGAAAAAAGAAGAAGTTGATCAATATGGACTCTTGAAGGATAAAATTGCCATTTTTGTCCAAATATAAGATGCCATCGACATGCTCATGCCTTTTGTGCCTCAAAAATAGAAAAGGTTTTCTGTACAGTCGCATGCACTTGTCAAATTCAGAATAACTGATATACTGTACCGCGTCGTAACGATTTTTCTCTCACGGTAGGCACGAAACAAATTAAATCAAGTTATAACAAGCTTTCAGTATCAGGACCAAAATTAACACTTTTTTCAGCGGTTGCACAACATATTTTGAAATCAATTTTATTCAATCTATGCCGCCTCCGAGGAATAAATTGTGAAACGGTGTGATTTTACTGCTTTTCAAACGAGGGGTTTTCCTCCATTTTTCTAGAGTGATTTCATTGCTCATGAAATCATGGAAATGACATTTGATGCGACCTGTCATTTGTCTTTCCTCTGCATTATTATTAATTATTAATACTGTATTATTACATTATTACTTATTATTAATTCCGTAAATCAATTTAGGAATCAAAGGAAAATTTAATTCGAGTGTCGTGGATGTAGCACCAAGTATGTTCAAGTTTATACCGTTTTTTAAACTTTGACGATCTAAAGAAGTTTTTTTTCTAATCTTTCATCGTTTCTCTCCCTGTTGAATGCGATTTAAAGACTCAAAGAGGGGTTCGTCTTTACTTGCAGGATTTTCTAAGCTGCATTTTCACATTTTATCTCGGAAGTTATTTTTTTAATCAAAAATATTGAGCATAATTTTGTCATCCAATTCTTAAGAGGAACATCCTAAAGACGAAAGTCTCGTGTTTATGTTGTTCAAATTGCAAGATAAGATTTGTTCATCATCGAGAGCCGGGGACCAAGCGGAGAACTGAAGAATAAGATGTGGAATAAGTTGGAGACTTATATCTAAAAAGAAAAAGACACTTTTCTGGAAAACCCGGCTTCTCTCGCCAGGGACGTGTTCCAGCGGCTGACATTTAATCAAGGAGATTGCCTCGGGCTGTGCACATAACGAGAAAGCAAGGGAGAAAAGGGCTGAAGAAATGCGAACAGAAACCGAGATCCTCTTGCTCCATCCCCCTTTTTTTTCCTCCAGGGAATTTCCGCAGCAATGGCGACTTGTGTGCTCGGGAAAATGGGCCTAACCAAAGTATCCATCCAAAAACCTTTTCTCTCAGAGCTTAGATTTTTTCTTTCTTTGAAAATTAATGCTCGAAGAGCACGGAATGAGCGAAAAACCTTTACCATTTTATTTCCAGGAAATGCAATAATGAAATCTAATCAAATCGGTTAAAATCTGAAGAATAATCATCATTGCACATCAATTCTGGTTTTTGAATGTATTCCATAGGGTTCGTGAGAAACCCGTTTTTATATGTCGCTGCTTTTTAAAAACACTTCCACCCTTGCTAAAATAAAATATAATTCATATGCGACGAAAACTTATCATACAAAAATTCTTTATATAGTTTTGGAAAGTCTGTCATGAATGTCACAAATTTTGCAACAGGCGTTCAAATATAAATTTCAGCGGCGTGGAAGAATCTACGATCTTAAAATCTTCATTTCAGTTTATGTTAACTATTGTAAATCGATTCAAAGGCAAATAAAAATGCTGGATTACATAACGGTTTTATATCAAATTCAAAGAAAAACTATTGGTATAATATTCGGAATTATCCAGTTTGCCTTTCCCTCATCCACAAACACCGAACTTCACGATACCTTTTTAAGAAAGGTGGGGTTTAAATTAAAATAATTTAAAACTCCAGGAATATACTGATAACTGTCTTTCAAAATTGATAAGTTTTTACGTTATTGATGAATGACCAATAAGCGCTACGGGAAATACGAAACACCCGTAAGATTATGAAACCATGGTTCAATATTCAAACTCTATTCGAATACGTACAGGATAATGAAAATAATTTCTTCGGAGTCAGAATCACGTCGAATTTTAAGTCAGAGTTTTAAACAATCGGCTCTTTCTG